GGTGTCTTGTACATTGCAGGGTGTTTACCAGCACCCCTGGACTCTACCCACTAGATGCCAGTAGCACTCACACTCCAGCTGCAACAAGAAAATAATGTCTCCAGATATTGCCAAATGTCCCGAAGGGGGCAAAAAAACAAAAACAACAAACGAACAAACAAAAACACCCAGGTTGAAAACCACTGACTGCTGTTTTAAAGGAACCAGTTTAGGACAAGAAGATGAAGTCCTACTTTCTACAGTGACAGCCATTTTCTAGTTAAAGCAACCAGTGCTATATACTAAAAACATAAAAAGGTTCAAGAAGGATTTAGAAATAACACACACACACACAAACTCAATGTATAAAGTTTCTAAAAGACATTTGGAGTCTGGGTACTTCTGACGCTGAGGTAATTTAGACTCCCTCTTACTGACTTTAAAAGACTGGGGCTGCTGCCAGATAGGATAAGACATTACGTGGATCATCAGACCCACCTAGTAGGAGACCTGAGATGCTCCCTGCTCCTGAAACCCAATTATAAACTGCACCTGCAGCAAAAACACCTTCCGTGGAGCCCTTGGAGGGTACTGAGTTCTACAAAGTGTTCCTGAATCTCCCTGAACATCAGAATCATCAAGGGGAGCTTTGCAAACGTGGAAAGTTTCAGGCCTCATCTCTACATTTTAATTTTGCATCTTAGGGTGGGGAGCCCAGACATCTGTACATTTAATAAGCACTGCCAAGTAACTGGGAACATCTGGTCAGGTAGACAGTGTCTTAAAATACGACAGAGAAGGTCAGGCTCTCTTCGAGTCTGCCCCATTTCAACTTCAACCTTAGGAAGAGACCTACAGACCATACAGTATTCTTTATGGGAATAATTATAGACTGTACCTAGATATACTACATTAGTGCTTTCAATCAACGTTAGCAACAAGGCTTTTACCCAAATGGAAAGTTCAATGTGAAAGTCAAGATTTTACAATAAAATAATTAATTAGGTATTGCTTTAGAATTATTACTTACAGTAGTAAGTCTTCAGTTATCTCCAGTGACAGCTTTTGCTAAAAATTCCATCACCTGTGCTCAGACAGAACGGGGGATACTATGCTTAGTCATGGGGAGCGACGTCAAATGGTCCTTGTACATACATTGAAAATGACAAGCAGGTGAAAAGACAATCCTCATTCCATTTTCCCATCAACAACACCAGAATAGATGCTTACTAAGGTCCAGTGGAAACATTTGCTTCATCTGTAAGACAGGGCTGCTGATTCAGTTAGAGGAATTTGAGCCTCACTATCATGTGGGTTTCCATCTCGCATTATGCAGTTTGCAACCTAGAGGTAGGGTGACCAGCTGTCCTAGATTGCCTGGAATTGAGGACTTCCCAGCATGTGGAATTTTTAGTGCTAAAACTGGGGCAGTTGGTTACCCTCTGTACAGCCCCGAAGCTGCCTTGCAGCTGGTACCTTCTGTATCGCTTTTCTCTAAAGTCCTCTACATCCCTCAGATCTGTCCCTGTCCCCAGCCCGCCCATCTCGAGCTCTAGCTTGAGCACCTTTCTCCTGAAGTGAATGGACTGAGCCAACTGGTCACAGACCCTAAGGTATAAGTCCATGTGGTCTGTGAGCTTCTCCCCATTGATGAAACTGAGTCAAAGAAAACCTAAGAGAACCTGACCTTCTTTCTCTCTTAATTCAAGACACTGTCCACTTAAATAGTGGCTCCCAATACTCAAGAATGTTTACGAAATATTAAGATTCCAGGACTTCCAACCCTAGACAGTCTAGAGATGAGGACCGAAAATCCCCAGGTATAAAAGCTTGCTGATAATTGTGATGTGCGGGAAGGTTCAGGAACACTCTCTAGAACACAGTGTCCCTTCGGGGTGCCATAAAATCTGCTCTTGCTGCAAGTGCAGTTTGTAATTGGATTTCTAGAACAAGGGAGCATCTCAGGTATTTTACTAGGTGAGACTAATCTTTGTATCCTGTAAACTCAAGTTAAAACACAGTATTTGACCTCAAGACATAGAGAATACGGTACTTTGCTCAGACCAGCATTTCAGATGCCCCCTGCAAAAGTTAAACAACTTCAGGGACTTCCCTGGTGGTCCAGTGGTTAGGGACTTGGCGCTTCCACTGCCGAGGGCCTGGGTTCAATCCCTGGTTGGGGACCTAAGATCCCATAAGCCGTGTGGCATGGCCCAAAAAAAAAAAAAAATTAAAATTAATTTAAAATTTAAAAATCTAACCTTGATGTTTAAAGAAAAGTTAAACAACTTTACTTAAGTCATGCCTTAAATCAAGTCGAAAGTAAGGTTGAAAGCTACTTAAATCCCAAGTTATATTTCTGAATGTTTGCTTTGAATGGTTAATTAGTAGCATATTATATCCAGATATTCCTGTAAAAATCCCTTGTTGGATTTTGTCCTTCTTATACCAAATATTCACATCAACAATTACTAGTCCAATATTTATAGACATCTAAGGCCCAGGGATAGATTCTAGACTTTAAGAGAAAAAAAATTTTTTAAGTTACTGTAATCTTTTACAGACTTACGACATCTGCGCTAATCTATGCAATCACCCTATCATCCGGGCTTTATGCACACACACACAAAACTACAGTTTCCAGGTGTTCAAAGATCACTCAAGAAATCCATTCACAGGCCCTGAGTTAAGAACAGCTGATCTAATATGAGCATAAATTTCTCCCTTCTGAGTGACACGTGGACTAGAAAATGCAGGGCCTTCCTAGAAGAGTGTGTCTTGGAAGCCAATGAGACCACACTATCCCATAAATTGAACTGTGAAAGCCTCTCTCAAATGCTTATCACTTTGGCAATATTCTTGCCAAATGAAGAAAGTCCTTAGGTCCCTGAAAACATCTAGTAGGTGGTTTATAGATTGTGTCAAAGGTATATATTTTTTAATAAAATTACAGTGAAACATGGGTGAAATAAAGCATCCCAAGGTCCAAAATCGGGGCTGGGACTTCTTCACTTTCCCTGCATCAATTCCCACACAGTCAGTTTAGCTAAACGAGACTCCTTATTCATAAGCTCTGCAAAGGCCAAAAACATCAGGATAGGTTTTATCTTTGAAAACTTGCAGGAGCTGTTCTTGCCTAGCGCACGTGTGCACTTGTGCGCGTGCGCGCGCGCGCGCACACACACACACACACACACACACACACACACACACACACACCACACCCCAGAGTGGAAACCTCTCTTTTTCATAAACTCTCTTGGAAGGACTCTGGCGTATCTCAGATTCACCTACATTTTGGAAAATCCAGCATCCAGCCTACAGGCCTCCTCTATAAAGAGCCTCTTGCCCATTTCTGCCATTTGACACCTAACATGGAATATATTGATGGCTCCTTTGTGTGGGTGATCCGTACATAAACTTAGTACATATTTCTATTTTATAAAGAATGTGTTAATAAGTTTATTGAAAATCCCGTCCATCCAGAATGAGAAAACGTAAAACTATTACTGACCTTTGGAAAAACTAAGACACATACACATAAAAGTCATGTTAAAATATGTCTATATACACATATATGTATGTGTGTGTATATATCTATATATGTATCTGCATATCTAACATGCAGCAAATATTTTATTAAACAGTCTTTGCCAGATACTTGTGAAGCTATACAAAGCATCAGATAATTCAAAAGTTAATTTGTATTTGGGTTGGGACTTCTCTATGTGTTTTGTATGCTGTTTACAGGGCGTGGAATACGGGGTTGGTAGAAGAAGGGCACTGTCTAATAATCTGACTCCAATCCCTAACTGGCTTGACACTGGCTCCTACCTGATTGCACTTGCATCTCATCCAAACACAATGGCCAACAGAGCAGAGGAGCTCACCAGGCGACAAGGACAGCCAAGTGGCCACCTGCATCCATAGGGAAGTAATTTACCAGGAGGGCCACACTAGGCCTCAGTGTCCTTACTATGAACAGTATTATTTCACAGGTTTAAGGATTTAAATTAATAGCTATGAAGTGCTTAGAACAGTGCCTGAATCACAGAAAGTCTTCCATAATAATAGTAGCTACTATTACTAGCTCTTATTAGCCACTATTATTAATACATATTCAAACACTGGAGATGACTGTTTTGCCTACTTAGACCATGTGGGTCTGTTTTAAACAGTAATATCTTCAATGCACTATTGCTAATGGTATGGATATAGATTACCTTTGTAAATCTCTTCCTTCAACTCCTGGAGATAAAGGACATCTCATGAAGCAAGCTCACCTAAGCCCATTTCTACCATCCACTGAGAAACCAGTGTGCAAACCTCTGACCCACTGATGTTAGAAAAGATAAGCTGTGCTCTCATTTCTGCCCATATAAATTTAGTACGTCTTTCTCACCAAAGTCTTCCTGGGAGCATTGATTTGCCTTCTGCTTGCTAGCCAACCTACTATTCCCGAGATTAAAACTAGAGAAACTAACAGCCAAGTGAGACCCAAGTTTGAGACTTTTCAACACAGAAATTAATGCTAAAAAAATGAGACAGAAGAAGACAATATAGCACTGGAAGGAGCTGTGTCACTCACCTCCGCCTTCCCTGGGGTGATGGATCATCTTACAAGCAGTTAACAGAAGAAACGAAGTGGCAATGTTGAAACTCCCCTAACCCCTCAAAAATATCATGAGCTGAGTCTCAAGACAGCACAGATGATCTAAATCCAGTGATATATAAACATGCCACTTGTGTGTCACAGGGGACCAAATAGGAAAACGAAGACCAGGTATTACGGGTGCTTTTCACCTGACACCATCTCTGCAAGTCTGACCCTTGGCCCTCAGCTGGAGAGGGAGATGTAGATTCCAGCACATCTTCATGCCTCCTGCCCCCGCCCCCCGCTCAGCTCCCCGGTAAACCAGGCACTGTTTCCCACGGGGCCAGGTTTAGGAGGAGGCAGCAAGGCGTAGAACCACCCTGACAGTACAGACGGGGACCCCGCCCCCTCGAGCCCAGGCTCTTACCTGTGGCATCTGCCCCCTCAGCAGGTGCACTCTGGCTGGACGCTGGGGCTGGATCCTTGACTCCGTGCACCTGAGCGGCTTCTTCCTGGTGTGTCAAAAAGGCAGAGCACAGATCAGTTTCCAGGGCTTGGAGCTTCAGCAAGGGATTCTGCCAGCAAAAGCAGAACATCGGGCTGGCTCAGTTAGATCCTGAAGCAACGCTGGGTCTGCAGCTCCTTTCTCCGGCGCCTGGCAGGAAGGGGGTCTCGGCCTCAGCTGCTTCAGGCAGGGCTGGTTGTGCCAGCATCAGAGGCGTGTTCTTCCACAGGCAGTCTCAGTTTCTGCTTCATATCAATCCTAACGTGTATTGATTATCTGTGACACATGGGACTGGTGATTTCGTCAGCAAGAGACACTGCACCCGGAGAACCAGTCTGAGAAGGTATCTGCTTCCCCAGTGGTTGAGCCTTTACGCTTTGCAAGTGTTTCATTCATTGTGCTGACATCAGGAGCGAATGACATTAGGCCCCTCCCAGGCTACCATTCATAAAAGCCCGCAGTGCACAGAGTGACTGCTGCAGAGGCCGCCTGGCAGCTGGGAGGTGCTTCGGGGCTCCCTCATCTGCATCTGCGTGTGGGGTGTGTGCGTGCCTGTAGGTGTGTAGGGGGGTGTGTGTGTGTGTGTGTGTGTGCGTGTGCGTGTGTATCTGTACGTGTATCTTCTGAAGTTACTTTTCTCACATGGAATGGATACAGCTGCCTTTTACCAAGAACAGAGTGGAGGGATGGAGGGAGATGACCTTGGTCCCTTAGTCTGACCCAGCCACTGAGGGATAAGCAGTTTACCATTCATCACTGCCAGCACAAACTCCCCGCTCCCCCTCCTCCTTTCTCATTTTAAATTCCTCCAGCGGTTCTTTATAAGAGCAAAGTCAGACAGGCTGACGCACGTATGCATGTGCTGCCGTGATGCAGATGCCCCGGCAAATTCATTCCCCCAACCAGGTGAAAGTGAGTCATGCCGAGTCCCTGGCTGGGCCCCAGTCCCCTGCAATAGGGCAGCTCTGCAGGCCCCAGAGCTCCTGGTGGGGGGCGGGGGGCTACCCGGAGTGGAGTCCTTTTCCCTGCTCTGACCTTGCAACACACACGTGCACACACGCACCCAAGCACCTGCTGACAGCCTGCCTTCATATAACCTATTCCCCACACACCTTCGTAACCACCACCACATTCCACTCCAGACACACACCCCCAGCCCGTGGCCCACACATACCCTCACGCCCTATCACACACACACTCCACCCCAGATGCACTCATTCCCATCTCCCACTCTCACACCCTACCCCACCCCTCGTGCCCTGACACCCTCACACCTTACCTCACATACACACCCACGCCCCACACCTCCTCCTTTCCCAACCCCTCCCCGCACACATACCCTCATCATGCTGTTGATGTGAGTACATATGAACCCACAGCGGTGTTTTAAAAGCTGCTCACTAAGAAGAGAAAAACAAATACCGTACGCTAACACATATATATGGAATCTAAAAAAAAAAAAGAAAAAGAGAAAAAAAATGGTCAGAAGAACCTAGGAGCAAGATGGGAATAAAGATACAGACCAACTAGAGCACGGACTTGAGGACACGGGGAGGGGGAAGGGTAAGGTGGGACAAAGTGAGAGAGTGGCATGGACATATATACACTACCAAATGTAAAATAGATAGCTAGTGGGAAGCAGCCGCATAGCACAGGGAGATCAGCTCGGTGCTCTGTGACCACCTAGAGGGGTGGGATAGGGAGGGTGGGAGGGAGGGAGACGCAAGAGGGAGGAGATACGGGGATATAGGTACGCATATAGCAGATTCACTTTGTTATAAAGCAGAAACTAACACACCATTATAAAGCAATTATACTCCAATAAAGATGTTAAAAAAAGTAAGTAAAAAATTTAGAAAAACAGCTGCTCACTGAGGAATGTCTTAAATCTGTTGTCTCTTGGCCAGTTTGAAAGTGGCAGGTCCCTCGCAGGCTCAGGACCCCTCCTCTGCTCAGCTCAGAGTTGGAGCAAGACCTAGTACAAACCTCCCTGTGCTCAGGGGCTGCTGCCTGGGAGCCCACAGCTTGGATGAAGCATCTGCCTGACACGAGGCCATTTTTTTATAGTTTCTTCTTCCTCTCTGGGATGTCTTCCCAGAAGCTAAGTGTGGAAGCAAGAGCCCAAGGCTACTGACAGGTGGTACAGAAGGAGCAAGGGCACCAAGTTTCTGGAAAGATTTAGTACCCAAGCATCTGGGAAGCAAAAAGAATGATTCCAGGCAAGCTTCCTACTGAAGGACTTTGGACATTGGAGTGACCTCTCAAAAAGAGCAAAACTATTCTGAAAATTAAGAAATAATGCTGTGAGAATGTAAGACGGTACAGCTGCAACAGCAAACAGTATGGTGGTTCCACAAACAGGTGTTTCTAAAAATAGGTAGTTCCTCAAATATGGTAATTCTGGGCTTCCCTGGTGGCGCAGTGCTTGAGAGTCCGCCTGCCGTTGCAGGAGACGCGGGTTCGTGCCCCGTTTCGGGAGGATCCCGCATGCCGCGGAGCGGCTGGGCCCGTGAGCCGTGGCCGCTGAGCCTGCGCGTCCGGAGCCTGTGCTCCGCAAATGGGAGAGGCCGCAACAGTGAGAGGCCCGCATAACGCAAGGAAAAAAAAAAAAAAAATATGGTAATTCTGAAAACAGAACTACTGTATGATCCAGCAAACCCACTGAAACAACTGAAAGCAGTGACTCTAACAGATATTTGTATACCCATGTTCACGGCAACATTACTCACAATAACCAAGAAATGTATTACGGACTGAATTGTCTCCCCCAAATTCATATACTGAAGCCCTAACCCACATTGTAACTATATATGGAGACAGGGCTTTTAAGGTGCAATCAAGGTAAAATAAGGTCATAAGGGTGAGGCCCTAATCCAATATGAACAGTGCCCTTATATAGAGAGAGAGACACCAGGGATGCACATACACAGAGGAAATGCCATGTGAGGACACAGTGAAAAGGCATCCATCTGCAAGCCAAGGAGGAGGCTTCAGGAGAAACCAATTTTGCTGGCACCTTAATCTTGGACTTCTTACCTCCAGAACTGTGAGATAATAAATGCTGTTTCGGCCACCGAGTCTCTGGTATCTTTTTTTTAATGGCAGTCCTAATAGGGTATTAGCAGATTAATACAAGTTGGAAGCAACCCAAGTGTCCATCGGCAGATGAACTGATAAATAAAATGTGATATATACATACAGTGGAATGTTATTTAGCCTTAAAGAGGAAGAAAATTTTAACACACACTACGACATGAATGAACCTTGAGGATGTTATGCTAAGTGAAATAAGCCAGTCACAAAAGGACAAGTATCTAGAGCAGTAAAATCCATAGAGATGGCAAGTAGTATGGTGGTTGCCAGGGGCTGGTGGGGAAGGAAAGGGAGTTAGTGTTTGAAGGGTACAGAGTTTGAGGTTGGGAAGATAAATGAAGTTCTGGAGCCGGATGGTGGCGATGGTTGCACAACAATGTGAATGTGCTTAATGCCACTGAACTGTACACTTTAAAATGGTTAAAATGTTAAATTTTATGTTATATCTATTTTACCACAATTTTAAAAAACAAAAAGTAAAAAAGAAAGAAAACCAGTCCTCTACATTTAGAGGGAGGACGTGGAACCAGCCACCTCCTATAAACTCTACGTGCTCTTGTAGATTCTACAAAGCAGAGGAGGACAGGGCCTTCAAGCCGAACCAGAGGCCATCTCTGCTACATACTATGCAGCTAACTTGGGGCAAGAATCTTGGCTATTCTAAGCCTTAGTTTCCTCATGCATAAAAAGAGGCAATAATGACAGTGACAGTGGCACCTGCTCGAAGAGTTAAACGAGGGAAGGCACAGAGAGCACTTTGCACAGCATCAGCACGTGGGAAACACTCAAGCACTGGACTCCGTGGTTATTACGTTCATCTCCAAACCCCAGGGGCTTCTGGGCAGAGGGCTGGTGGTGTGGGAGGCCAGACCCCATAGCATCTCTTGACCTTGACTCGTCACTGTACTCCCAGGGCCTCACTCTGCACCTGCCCAGGAAGGACCCGAGACTACGTGACTTGCAAGTTCCCGTCCAACTTTCCAGGAAAGAAAAGCAAACATGGCCGTGTACTGAGGCTGGTGCACAGAACCTGACAGAGTGGATGCTTGGAAGGTGTTTGTGGAACTGAAACAAGTGTTCACACAACACAAATCAACAGCAAAGAATCTCACTGCAGAGGAGCTCGTCAGGTCACGTTCAGAGGACCCTCTGCTCCCCCAGAGAGTGGGGTGTAATGCTGAGACCCAGTTACCACTGGGAGTAGTCACAGGTGGTTCTCACCCGTCTTCCCCGCCCTCGTCCTCCCTCACTTGTACTCATACTGAAGCCGAACCGACGCTCTGAGAGTCGAACGAGATCCATTTGCATGGCTGGTTTGTTCCTCTCTGACACCAGGTAGGAGGAAGCTTAAAGGAATGGGGGAGAGCAGAGTGGCAAATGGAACAGGAGAGAGGGGATGAAGGTCTCGAGGGACAAGAAGACATCCAAGGAGAAGGGAAAACAAACTGCTGGAATTGAGGAGGCAGAATGGAAGAAACTCTGCTCACCGACTGTCATCAGCTATGCCCCTCCCCAACCCTCACTGACCCCTTACCTGAGGACCACCTGCTGTTCCTCAGCACAGGGACAGAGAGTGGAGGCTTGGACGCCCCATGTGGGATGGAGCCTGTTGACCAGAGAACGCATGACAGGGGAAGCTGGAGGCTTTACCTATGAGCAATCTATGCCACTGTCACATACATGTCCTTCCAGTGGGTAACAGGAGGAATCCAGCCTGTCCCATCAGGGCTGAGCCCCACAGAGCCTCCCCTGAGAAGGCTGGAGCACTGCTTGCATCACACACGTGAGGGTCATGCCCCCAGCAGCTGTACCAGCACACGTGCAGCTCCCAGGCTCCAGCAGCTCTCAACGCACAAAGAGATACACTGGGCTCTGGAGCATGAGACTGATGTCAGCCCCTTCCTCGTGGGGCTC